CGCAAAGACGAGCGGAGCAACATCCTCAGGCTTGCACCCATGGAGCCAGGGAGAATCCAAAAAGGTGTTTTAGCGCCATTCCCCATGGTGATGGTCGTGGACGCGTAGAAAAAGTCAAGATCCTCCTCATTACATGGATTTCTCAAGCCCACCCACAATTTTTGTGGTGCCGTCCATTCAAACCATGGCCATCTCAAGCGCAAGGCCCATGCGATTTTATCGGTGCTGAGAACCAGCGAGGATATGTTTCGAGTATAGCACACACTTAGATTGATATGTGGGTTATGTATATCTTTCTATCATTGCTCCGCCCACCGTGTCACATGTTGATTGATGAGCTGAAGCAAGAGCCCCTGGTTTTGAGAAAGGAACACTTGCGTCAAGATATATATCATGACATAGGTAATGTGCTGCCAGATCATCATGTGCAATATTCTACAGATTGATCATCACATACAATTTTCGGTAGACTGTAGAGTATCACCGATTGATCCGACAAAAAAAATGCGTCACCGATTGCAGCGGCGACGGAAAACCCTCACTCCCACCACCGAACCATTCATGTGAAGGGTCCAAATTAACGAGCCGGCAGTCGTCGTCATGGTGCTCTCCGAATGGCGCGCAGAGCACTAAATATGCAACGCTCTCGTGTATCAGGACCGCATTGTTAGAATAAATCCGAGGCATTACTGTCGATCATCTAAGAACCAAGCAATCACACAAGCATGACACCGAAATTTGTTAGAGCATCTTCACTCGTTCCGTCCCCGAGCGCAGCGGCCGGCGCTATTTTGACCCTTCGGCCGACGCTTTTTAGGCCCTAGGACGATCTAGTTCCCAGCTACACCCCCAGGGGCCGGTCCCAAGACGTTATAAATTCAAACTTGACATTTCTCGCTACCCAAAAAACGCCACAAGTCCGGCGAGCAGTTCGGTGATCACCATGCCACAGTTCGGCGATCAAGAACTCAAAAGTTCGACGTACAAAAGACGCGTAGGCAATGCATCAAACGGCCGCGTCGTCCTCCGACGTCGGACTAGCGGGAGTCGGCGTGCGCGGGCTGGTCGGCGTCGGCGCGACTTCTGTGCTGAGCGTCATGGAGGAAACGCTCGGGATTGGCGGCGGCGTTGGGGTCAGCGTGGGAGTTGGCGTGGCCGTCGAGAGCATCTGGTTCAGGATGAGGCCACGCTCCGTCAGGTACCACGCCTTGACCTGCTCGTCCATCGTCAACATGTCCCCCCCCCCATCAAGAATGCCAGGTCGGTGTTCCTCTTCTTCACGGCGACGTTGGTCCAGAGTAGGTCGAGCTTGACGGTTCTGTTCGTCATCAACACCGACCACCGTGCCTCAGATTTCTCTTCCCTCTAGGCGGCGCGGGTCTGGGCGTCAACAATGCAATGCTCAATGGACGCTTGCAGCAGCATGGTAGCCGGCGGGGCGTCCTTCGTCGACTTGGCTCACTTGTTGCCGTCCGGGCACCAATTTGACGTGCCCGGCGTCGGCGCGTCCGGCTTGTACGCCTCCTTGGCCTTGGCGAGGGTGCGCCAGACGTCCGCCCACTTCTTGCACTTCTCAATTCGGGGGGACACGTGGAGGTACTTGAACTCTTGGTCGGTGCTGCTGTCCTGGCGGTACATGGCGAACATCCGGACCATCTGTGCCGAGGAACAAGTGTCGGCGACGAACACTGCGAAAAATTAGCGAGAGACCGGCGTCTATGCATACCTGACCCTTGATGTTGGCGCCGCTTTCCGGGCGAGCCGCGACCTCCTCGACGATCCCATGCCATTTGTTGCATGCCGTTTGGATGAGCGCCCAATGGTTCGGCATGGCCTTTGAGCCGCGCTGCATGTGGATGCCGGTGAAGTAGGGGTCGATCAGCTTGCGCTCATCAAACTCGATTTGATGCACTCTCAATACGTGTCGGTGTTCTGGTTCGTGCCGGTGATCGGGTTCGAGGCAGACGGTCTTCCACGCTTCAGCGAGGCATTCGTCTTCTTTGGACGCCCACTTGACGCGCGGCTCGCCGGTCCTAGCCGCCCGCTTCTTCTTCTTTCGTTTCATCGCTGGAGCAGGCGCCGGCTCCTCCAGCTCCTCCTCCTCCTCCTCACCGTAGTCGAGCTCGTCGTCCATGTCGTCGGTGAGGTCCATTGTATCTTCTTGGGCATTGAACCCGGGGGAGGCGGCGGCGGCGGCCGAGCCGCTCGT